CACCCTAAGACGCTGTAAACTGAATTATATGACTATACTGTGATAAAACACATCAATGCTGGTGTTAAAATTTACAAATTTATGAAAATCTGCATTTTGTGGGTTAAAATGGCCTCTACTGTTTTAAATCATCCTGGACCTTGTAAGTCCAATACTGAGACAGATTCAGTTTGGGGCGACAACATTTATGTACAAAAAACAGTGTTACCGCCCTCGGAGAGTTAGCGTCTCTGAGTCGCTAGCTTACCTACAACACAGCTCAGCTACAAACAGGTAACTTAAACTTTAACAAATGGCTGTCAATGTGCTTCAAGTGACTGTAAAAGCTCCAGCGGACTCTTTGTGTTTCCAGCATGGACACTGCTCATTAGCTCTGACTAACAGCTCACTGTTTCTGCTACACTGCTGTGGTCAGTCGGTATTTTCTCCATAAAATATGATCCAGAGTCCTGGTCGTAGCCACTGTAAATCATCATGGTACAACAATGTTGCAAAAATAAATGACCCTGTAGTGGCACCAAATTTCACAAAATTCCACTTTTTACATTATGTTGCTTCAAATTTTTAAATTTTGGTGAACCATTCCTTTAATATACGACACATACTGTATGATTTTTCCGTGGCAGAAACTGGTAACTGTGGGTGTCTTAAGCTCGTTATCCACGTTTCTCTGCCTACATCTTTGACATCAAATGTAAGTTTTGAAATCTCGTCACTGCACTAAAGCGTGGCTGTGTACAACACCGTACTGTATGTGGAAGTAAAGACAGCAGCTTAAAGGATAATAAAGAAAAAAGTAATTACCATAACAAGAAAAACTAAGCACAGTGATTTCTATCCAGTTGAGACAATGTGTTTATATAAAATCTACATTAGAGACAATCTGAGTATTAAAATATTCTCAAAAACTCCAGATTTAAGACTCGTGTGTTAATCGTGTGTTAATCGGCACTGTACCATGAAACCCATCCACCCCTGCACAGCTGCTTTCCACTGCTCTCGAGCTCATCCTGCAGAAGTAGGTGTGTCTTTTATTCTTTCATTCTGTTGACCTGCCATTGTGTTTCCCTGAGGCCACACTGCTTATTTACTGTACAGCCACACACTTGCAGCCTGCATACAAACACACATTAACACACTTGCAGATGCACACTGGCCCCAATCCAACCTTTGAAAAACCTTTAATGCTATTACATACCATGAATATATGATGTTCAATGTGCCGCAGGAGTTATTTTTTGATGTGAAGAGCTGCTTTCTTCCCATATTATGTGCCATGTCTTGTGCTTTGATATATGGTCAATTGAGGGTTCTATTAGAAGTAAAACTGGCATATTTTTCTCCTTGAATTATTGTTGAATATTTTTGGATAAAATAAGTTATGTGATCTGATTTTCACTGTTAATTTTTTGGATCACTGAAAGATACTCTGTGATCAAACGTTACTGTAGCGTCACTGGAGACATCAATTGAGCACTTCACTGGCCAGACATAACAATAGCTGACACTTAAACCTTAATCCTGACTTTTTTGCCACTTGGGGGCAGAAAAACAAGTTATGAACATTGACATATCACCTGATATGGCAAACGGTTGCGTATTTACACAACCGGACGTTATGGAGCAACATTATTTTTCATTTGGAGTCGTGTTTTGGAGTCTAGCTAATGTAAGTCCAATATTCACTTACTTTTAACTCTGGTCTTTACAAACTCCTGTGGGAAATATGCAATACATACACCAGCTAGTCGCTGACTGTCTGCTGCGGTTTGGTGCTGAGCGGGTTGTGCACTGTGGGTTTTTAGAGCTTTTTTTTTTTTACTGAAAACAGCTACCTACTGCTGATGAAAACGATGTTATCAGAGCAGTGAGAGTGAAGTAAAACAGTAAAGTTGTGAGTTGAAACTCACTATAAAGCTTAATACAGCTGCAGATTCTATGACAATTGAATTACTACGAGTGACACCTTTCACATTGTTTTTACATTGTTATAATACAAACACTGATTATAGCTGCTTTAAACAGTGTCGTAGTGTTTCTAAACTATTGCTCCTTTAAGACTGTAATTACGTTTGACTTTTTCTTGTTTTTAAAGTGGATTGTTTATGTATTTTTGTCTTCTAACAAGGCAGATGGTGGCAAACCTGTTTCGTAAAAACAGCTTACTGAATACATTTGATTTGATTTGATCTGACTCATAGTGTTTTGGCTGCTGAGAGCAGCCCTCGGTGAAACTGTGTTTGAAATATAATCAAAGCTAAAAGAAGGTCTGACACTGGAGCCAGCCAGAGGTCCCCAAAGGAACAAACCTCTCTAGCTTTCCGAAAAACTCCTGATAAAGCTCATGGATTTATGGGACTTTAAATCACTTTGACCCAGGTCAAACACAAAAATACTATGTTAAAAAGACATCAGAGATATGCTGCGCCGGGTTCACAGACATGTATTAAGCTTCAAAATCCAAGATCAAAAGGCATTTTTTAGAGGAAGTCTATTTGCATTTGGTCCAGGGCTATGCTTAAACTGTGACAATGAAACCAGCTGCTAGATTGAGAGAAGCCACACCCAAATCACTAACTTTGTAGTCCCTAAACTCGAGAAGCAGCATTCACATTAACCTCGAAGAAGGGAAGGATCTCTGTTGAACATATGAATTATTTTTTCCAAACATTTTCACACTTCGAGTGCAACCACAGCTGGAGGTTGTTAAGGGAGATTATTTCCATTCACTACTCAGAGCAGCTCCTCAAACGGGTGACCTTCATGTAAAAGAAACATGTCTTTAACCTCCAAAGCCCCATTTAATTCATCTATCAATTCTCATTATTTTCAGCTTTTTAAAAAATCCTTTTAACATTGACCTTCCTCTTTGGAGGACGACTTTATTTTCACAATTATCCAAGATATCACTTGTTCACTCAATGCCTCTTTGAAGGACAACATGAAGAGTAAAAACAGAAAAACTACAATCCAGCAACCAATGTGTTGACAATATACAATAAAAAGTAAAATACAATAAATAACGATTATTTTCATTTTCACTTAATCTTCTAATTATTTTCTGGATTAAAATTATTGTTTTGTCTATAAAACATCAGAAAACAGTGACAAATACTAATAAAAAATAATAATTAGAGATTCATAGAGCTCGAGATTGTGTCATTGAATAATAATGTAAAAACCGAAAAATGGACTTAAATGATCGCTTGTCAAAATGATTGTTGAATAATGTTCTGCCAATCGACTATTTGATTGATGACCTAACTGTTGCCACTCTAATGACTTAAATGTTAGTGTGTGCGTTCATTCAGTGTTAGCAAACTCACCGGACGTTGCCATTGTAGATGTTGAAGGTCAGACACACAATGCCGAGCAGAATGCCGAGGCCGGCGAAAACGGACACAGCTGCAAAAAGCTTTTGAGATAAGAACCTGTACTCTTCGATCACCACTGTCCGATCAGCAGGAGGTCCAGCGCCTGAACAGAGTGAATAAGAGAAAGAAATGTGAAGAGAGAAAATGCTTCTGGTGCCATTTTGCATAAATTGTGATACACATTTCACTGCATTAATAAGATGCTAACTTTTAATGATTACCTTTACTTAGATCTCATATATGGATAGATGGACACAATGGTATATTAACCTACTTAGTAAAAATAAAATCGCAATTTCCTTTTAGCAAACATTACTGAAACAGGAGTGAATGGTGCTTTCGTTGGGGCAGACAGTGTGTGTGGGAAACAGTATGTGTGTTTGTGGTAAGGAAGGAACAGGAGCAACAGTGTGGCTCATTGATTGTTTTTGGAGAACAATGGAGCTCTGTGGCACAGAGGAATAAGATATACCAGTCTTTGGCAACACAGACAATACTTGTTAATGGGGTCTGGGTTATCTAGGGTGAGGGTTAGTTTCATAAATCAAAATTAAATTAGACTGGAACAGAAGGTGCACTGTCTTTTTGAGCTGCAAGAATTAGTTGATTAATAGATTGAAAGAAAATTAATAGGCTATTCTGATATTGCTGTTTTTTGGGTTATATATGAGAACAAATAATATTGGCTGAACAAAATAATACAAGATGGCTCTGGATTTTCATTTTATAGACTAAATGATTATTCAGTAAATAGAAAAATATAACCTAATCTCTATTTATTTATAATGAAAATAACTGTAATAAACTGTCTTCCCTTCATCAGTCCCCCAAACAAGAATGCTACAAAGCCAATCAATACTAGCCAAGAGCAGTGTTGGGCAGTAACTCATTACTAGTAAAAATATAACAGTTTATTTAATTGTTTTAAGTCTGAATTTTGGGGAGAAGGTGCACGATTACGTAGAGAGTAATGAGAAATAAATTGCATTTTTGGGTAATTAGCCCAACACTGGCCAAAAGTTTTATTCATCAGGGACGTATTGCTGAGAGGTAGGCTCTCTTTTTCAGACCTTGTCGGTTACACAAATTCACTCCGCTGGCCACCGAGCAGCTTCACTGGAGCAGTTAGGGGTTAAGGGCCTTGCTCAAGGGCAACCCAGTGGTGTTAATGAAGAAGGGGTTGTTTTCACTTTCCCCACCAAAATGTATCCTTCCAGTCTGGGGATTAAGCCAACAATTAACTTCTTTAAAATGACTTAAAGAATCACTCCGTATGACTGCACAGTCTGCACAGGAGTAAGTAAGGAAGGAATAAGTATCTAAATATCAAAATACCAATTACTGTAATCAAGCAGAAGCCTCAGACCTCCTCAGAACCTTTCATAATGATTGATTTATTGAGCCTTCTGAATGCAATATCTTCATTTAATATCTTTTTAATACACTGTTCGCAGAAACTCAAGCCTGCCACTGTAGTATAATATACATCAGTGTTTAACCACAGAATTACATTAGATACTCTATCAAATAAAGTTAAGCATCAATTTTCTCGGTGCACTTGTGTTCTCTTTTTCTTTCGCTCCTTTTTTTTTAGTCTGGGAGTCGGTGTTTAAACATCAATATCATTAAATGAAGTTAAAGTCAAGAAATGCCTGTTCACCAAAGCTGAGTCTGTCTGACAGGCATTCAACCAGGGTCAAAAGGAGGGTTCTGAAGCCACGCTGACCCATTAAAGTCACAAGTTAAATGGTCTGAAAGTGATTTAGGTTACAAACAAATATCCTTTGAATGAACCTCTGAAAACCGCTCTGTACATGTTTTACAAGTTTTTTAAATACCTGATCAACAGCTGGAAACCAAGAAACATTTAAGCTGCCAGCATGCTTCTATGATTGAATAGCCTCAGGACACCAGACCTTTGTGTCTCACCATTTCTGTAATTTTCCGAAACTATCTCGCATTCACACAAACTTCAATTTCTTTCAAGCTATTCATTTTCATTTTTGACCAAAACTTTTTCTGTAACTTTTTATGTGAATAACCAATTGCAATAGTATGAATATGCAATGTTATTACTATATTTAAACAATGTCACACACACTCCACTGTATGTATGAGGCTGGCTTTACACCACGCCTTCCAGTGTGGTTGTTTGGAACAACTCTAAACATTTGATTTCAGACAACACATCATTTGAACTATTCACAATGAATTCAAATTGCAGTCCCCAGCAGTCAACAGCTCTGCATGCTGTGTTTTATCAAAAACTAAATCATGGAAAAATAAACAAGTTAAACAAAACTGTAAGCAACAAGAACTTGCTATGCACTTGTAGTCATGACTCGGGCTGTATGTTTGATGCATTAAATAAAAATACTACTTGAAATGATGCCACAGGGGTCCAGAGTTGTTTCTCATATTGAGTACATACATTAGTGCATTTAAACAGGTTTTCATCAGTGTATGAGCTCCATGACCTCCATTAAATATTAATAATGCTGAAGTGCAGAGAATTACAACCATGAACTGTTACAGATAATCCATATATAAATGTCAATTTCAGTAGTTATTATATTTTTATATAATGCAGACAACTTTGGTGTTAATTAAGAGCTGAAGCTTTAGGGTTTTACAAAGTGTGTGTGTTTATACTAACTACCCAATTATTCATGCTTGTGTAGCTTTAAACTAGAAGAATTCCTCAGTGAGGAGGGTTCAAAGAGGGGCAGATGGACAGGGAGCCTCATTTCACCCTCAACAGCCTCTGACTATCTGTCTGCCTAAATAGGGGTCTGCCTGCAGATTTGTGCATCCATGTGTGCGCTCCTGAGTATGCATATGCCAATGTGGATTGTATATACACTGTATGATAAGCATGTAGACCTACATACACGATACCCAATAAACTGTGATGCACTGTGTGTTCTGACACCTTTCTATCAGAACCAGCATTAACCTTTTCAGCAGTTTGAGCCACAGTAGCTTGTCTGTTGGATCAGACCACACGGGCCAGCCTTCACTCCTCAAGTGCATCAGTGAGCCATGGCCGTCCAGTACCCTGTCTCAGGTGTAGCGCTTTTCCTTCCTTGGACCACTTTTGATAGTACTGACCACTGCAGGTTGCACTGTGTTCCCAAACACCCCATAAGAGCTGCAGTTTTGGAGATGCTCTGACCCAGTCGTCTAGCCATCACAATTTGTCCCTTGTAAAAGTCGTTCAAACCCCCCTCTGCCCATTTTTCATGATTCTAACACATCAACTCTGAAGACAAAACGTTTACTTGGTGCCTAATATATCCCACCCACTGACAGTTGCCATCATAACGAGATAATCAGTGTTATTTACTTCACCAGTCAGTGCTCATAATGTTATGGCTGATCGGTGTAGCAAGAGTGAATGTGCTCAAGAGAGTGTATATGAGCGCAGGAGAGCATTTATGCGTGCATACAGTATGTGTTCAGTGTGCGTGTGTTTGTGAGATAGAGGGAGACAGAGTGTGTGTGCATGTCAGAGGGGAAGCAGAGCTGAAGTGTCAGTGCCGCGTGAAGCTGATGTGTCAGATGTCAGAGGAAGGTGTCAGAGTTGTCGCACCCTCGAGGGTCACAGGGTGTCAAGACGCCCATCATGCTCTGTTTAGATGCTTGTCACCACTGTCACACAACCGATGTGTATCTGGTGTCATCTTACTGAGGAATTACGATATAAGACGGATTCACCAAGTTAAAATTAGGACTTTT